TTCATAGCACAATCGGAATTTGAGACCTGAAGCAAAGTTGAAGTTTACATAATTTTTTATCTCACTCTTCAAGAATCGTCCCGATACGATAAAAATCAAGAGAGTTACGATTTTTACAATATCGAAAAACAGTCCAGTAGAAAAATTATTTGGAGTGCAATTTTCCCTGGTAATTGGTACTTTTGGAAATCTTCTTCTTATATGAATTATCTCCTATCTCGAACATATGAATCGAAGATAAAATTAAGACAGAATTTTCTCCCAAAGAACCACCTAAAAACATTGAACCGGGCGAAAGTTATGAATTTTTGAACATCTGAAAAATAACGGTTCGACACACTATTTTCACTGTTTTTGCACCATATAGCTTCTGAGTACTCGCGCATTCGGAGATCTTACTAAATGAATTTGCTTCCGAGATAACACAAAAATTAAAGGAAATAACATGATTCAAATGCTCCAAGAATCACTCAAAGATGATCTTCCATCCAGAAGTTACGAATTTTTAAGCATCTAAAAACCAGAGAAACGGTAAATCCACTATATAACGCGTTTCAGGTATTTGGCACTTTTAAGAAAATCTTCCTTACAAAATTAGCCTTCGGCATGAACAAATGAATTGAAGAAGACCTGGAGAATCATTCCCAAACCATTTTCTAACCTCAAGTTATGAATTTTTTAGCTTAAAATGCATCGTACTGAATTTTTGTCTGCACTATCTCAAATCAATTGAAACGCTTGACTTTATGCATAATTCAGAGCATGTTGGAACGCATGATATCTTGGAATGATGATGACTTAATTAATCCCTTATTTGATAGCCTGTAACACGTGTGACGTGTATTTGAATCCCGAAAACCCTGAGTTTCTGCTTTGCTACTCCCTGGCAGAACCCTTGAGCTTGAGATGACGAAAATTTTGATTCGTATTGTTCATACATGCCAAGGTTTGAGATTACTTGCTGAAGAAGGCATGGAAATAAACACATGAACCTATCTCAAAGAGTCTTGAGAACCAAGCAACTGAACTCTCCTTAACAGTGTGGAACAAAGCTTGAAGACAGCGCAATCTCAATGCAATATGATGCTATGAGATGACAGAAAATCTTAGGGGCAAAAATTGGGGTATAACACTAGCAATAAGAATTTTTTATCTTCTCTTTTTATGACATGGAAGTGATATTATTTAATGCCTAAAATTAGATCATTCATAACTATTCGATAATAGTCTACTTGGCTACAAAATACTTTCAAAATTTCATGGTTCATCTCAGAATCATAATTCCAAACTAAATAATCCTAACATATGCACATAGTTATATACACACATATCACTATATATATTAGTGCGACATGTGACTTTGTACAACTCTTTAATCTGAAAACTGAACAATTCTTATGCAAAAAAACTAAAACTAATCAAATCCATAATGTTAACTCATATTTAATGGCTACAAAGAATTATCGATTACCAAAGAGAATATCACTTCTGCATTTCATTAGAAATCAAATAAAGACTCGTTATAGATCCATAAACGAATCCCTTCTTTATACCTGTAATGTGGTTTACTTTTGAGTTTGATCACACTATTTCTTTCAACATATGACATATTTACTTCAGTAAAGTCAATATCTTCGTAACATGCAAAAGCGACGATCTTACAATGCCATATTTCCGTGTTCTTGTGGAAATTTCTTGTTGTGATGTTGGCTTCTAATTTGTAATCCAAGATGTTGTTTCTTGTGAGAGAAGCCACAGTTATGTGAAACTTGGCATTAGAGGGGAGAAAGATGGTGACTAGCAAGAAGAATTTTTTATCTTTGCTTTTTATGACATGGACGTAATATTATTTCATGCCTACAATAGATAATTCATAACTATTCGATAATAGGCTACTTGGCTACAAAATACTTTCAAAATTTCATGGTTCATCTTAGAATCATAATTTAAAATTAAACAATCCTTACATATGCACATAGTCATATACACATGTAGCACTTTATATACTAGCGCCACATGTGATTTTGTACAACTCTTTCATCTGAAAACTAAACAATTCATATGCAAGAAAAATAAAACTAAACAAATCCATAAATTAACTCATATTTAATGGCTACACAGGATTATCGATTACCAAAGAGAATATCACTTCTGCATTTCATTTGAAATCAAATAAAGATTTGTTATAGATCCATAAATGAATCCCTTCTTTATACTTGTAACTTGGTTTACTTTTGATTTTGATCACATCCTTTCTTTCAACATATGACAGATTTACTTCAGTAAAGTCAATATCTTCGTACCATGCAATTGCGACGATCTTCGAATGCTATATTTCCGCATTTTTGTTGGAATTTATTGGTGTGATGTTGGATTCTAATTTGTAATCCAAGGTGTTGTTACTTGTGAGAGAACCCTCGATTATGTGAAACTTGACATTAGAGGTGAGAAAGATGGTGACTAGCAAGAAGAATTTTTTATTATTGTTTTTTATGACATGGACGTGATATTATTTCATGCCTAAAAATAGATAATTCATAACTATTTTATAATAGGCTACTTGGATACAAAATACTTTCAAAATTTCATGGTTCATCTTAGAATCATCATTCCAAACTAAACAATCCTAACATATGCACATAGTCATATACACACATAACACTTTATATACTAGCACCACATGTGATTTTGTACAACTCCTTATCTGAAAACTAAACAATTCCTATGCAAGAAAACTAAAACTAATCAACTCCATAATGTTAACTCATATTTAATGGCTACAAAGGATTATCGATTACCAAAGAGAATATCACTTCTTCTTTTCATTAGAAATCAAATAAAGACTCGTTATATATCCATAAACGAATCCCTTCTTTATACTTGTAACATGGTTTACTCCTAAGTTTTATCACACTCTTTCCTTTAACATATGACAAATTTACTTCAGTAAAGTCAATATCTTCATACCATGCAATTGCGACGATCTTCTAATGCCATATTTCCGCGCTCTTGTTGGAATTTCTTGGTGTCATGTTTGCTTCTAATTTGTAATCCAAGGTGTTGTTGTTTGTGAGAGAAACTTCGGTTATGTGAAACTTGATATTAGTGGGGAGAAAGATGGGGACTAGCAAGAAGAATTTTTTATCTTTGTTTTTTATGACATGAACGTGATATTATTTAATTCCTAAAAATAGATAATATTAGATTAATTTTTTAATTAATCAAATATGGATTGAAATAATTAATTAATAATTAATTATATTATGGTCAATTGTTATTAAACACTAATTATTGATGAATTGTTTAATTGGGTTTTGTCTCTGAATTGGCCGTGATGGATTGGACCATTCAATTAAGTCCAATGAGAGGTCCCTGCCCTAGGACGTTTAATTATTTAAGTATTGTCCCATTAACCGATTAACATACTATCTGAAAACCTAGATGAGAATGAGGATAGTAATCTTCTCATAATCACTCTCTCTGAAGACAATCTCTCAAATCCTGCAAGGTATATGATTCTTATTACTATTGATTATTCTATAATATAACGATATACTATAATTTGTGCCTATATGATTCAATTAAATTCATTAGATAATTCAAAACTATTCGATAATAGGCTACTTGGCTACAAAATACTTTCAAAATTTCATGGTTCATCTCAGAATCATAATTCCAAACTAAACAATCCTAACATATTCACATAGTCATATACACACATAACACTTTATATACTATCGCCACATGTGATTTTGTACAACTCTTTAATCTGAAAACTAAACAATTCTTATGCAAGAAAACTAAAACTAATCAAATCCATAATGTTAACTCATATTTAATGGCTACAAAGGGTTATCGATTAACAAAAAGGATATCACTTCTTATTTTCATTAGAAATCAAATAAAGACTCGTTATAGATCTATAAATGAATCCCTTCTTTATACTTGTAACATGGTTTACTTTTGAGTTTTATCGAACCCTTTTTTTCAACATATGACAGATTTACTTCAGTAAAGTCAATATCTTTGTGCCATACAATTGCGACGATCTTCCAATGCCATATTTCCACGCTCTTGTTAGAATTTCTTGGTGTGATATTTTCTTCCAAGTTGTAATCCAAGGTGTTGTTGTTTGTGAGAGAAGCTTCAGTTATGTGAAACTTGACATTAGTGGGAAGAAAGATGGGGACTAGCAAGAAGAATTTTTTATCTTTGTTTTTTATGACATGAACGTGATATTATTTAATGCCTAAAAATAGATAATGTTAGATTAATTTTTTAATTAATCAAATATGGATTGAAATAATTAATTAATAATTAATTATATTATGGTCAATTGTTATTAAATATTAATTATTGATGAATTGTTCAATTGAGTTTTGTCTCTGAATGGACCGTGATGGGTTGAACCATTCAGTTAAGTCCAATGAGAGGTCCATGCCCTCATACGTTTGGTTATTTAAGTGTTACCCCTTTAACTGATTAACATACTATCTGAAAACCTAGACGACAATGAGGATAGTAATCTTCTCATAATCACTCTCTCTGAAGACAGTCTCTCAAATCCTGCAAGGTACATGATTTTTATTACTATTGATTATTCTATAATATAAATATATGCTATAATTTATGTCTATATGATTCAATTAAATTCATTAGATAATTCAAAACTATTCGATAATAGGCTACTTGGCTACAAAATACTCTCAAATTTTCATGGTTCATCTCAGAATCGTAATTCCAAACTAAACAATCCTAACATATGCACATAGTCATATACACACATAGCACTTTATATACTAGTGCCACATGTGATTTTGTACAACTCTTTCATGTGAAAACTAAACAATTCTTATGCAAGAAAACTAAAACTAAACACATCCATAATGTTAACTAATATTTAATGGCTACAAAGGATTATCGATTACCAAAGAGAATATCACTTCTGCATTTCATTAGAAATCAAATAAATACTTGATATAGATCCATAAAAGAATCCCTTATTTATACTTGTAAAGTGGTTTAATTTTGAGTTTGATCACACCCTTTCCTTCAACATATGACAGATTTACTTCAGTAGAGTCAATATCTTTGTACCATGCATTTGTGACGATCTTCAAATGCCATTTTTCTGCATTCTTCTTGGAATTTCTTAGTATGATGTTGGCTTCTAATTTGTAATCCAAGGTGTTGTTGCTTGTGAGAGATGCCTCGGTTATGTGAAACTTGACATTAGAGGGGAGAAAGATGGTGACTAGCAAGAAGAACTTTTTATCTTTGTTTTGTATGACATGGACGTGATGTTATTTCATGCCTACAAATAGATAATTCATAACTATTCAATAATAGGCTACTTGGCTACAAATTACTTTCAAAATTTCATGGTTCATCTCAGAATCCTAATTCCAAACTAAGCAATCCTAACATATGCACATAGTCATATACACACATATCACTTTATATACTAGCGCCACATGTGATTTTATACAACTCTTTCATTTGAAAACTAAACAATTCATATGAAAGAAAACTAAAACTAAATAAATCCATAATGTTAACTCATATTTAATGGCTACAAAGGATTAACAATTACCAAAGAGAATATCATTTATGCATTTCATTGGAAATTAAATAAAGAATCGTTATAGATCCATAAATGAATCCCTTCTTTATACTTGAAACGTGGTTTAGTTTTGAGTTTGATCACACCCTTTCCTTCAACATATGATAGATTTACTTCAGTAAAGTCAATATCTTCGTACCATGTAATTGCGGCGTTCTTCCAATACCATATTTCCGCATTCTTGTTGGAATTTCTTGGTGTTTTTCTTACCCCAATTTTTGACCTAAGATTTCACCTTCATTTACATTTTTTATATACATCCAGGTCACAAAATATGGTCGGTTTCGAACATTTCACCTTCGAGCATTTCCTGTGCAGAGATTGTCGAGTGTTGTAAGCATTTTATCTTATGCATGACTAACTTCTAATCAAGCACAAAGTGTATGTTTTTGTTTCTTTGATTTCATGTTCATAAACAGGTCTAAATCAAGAGCATCATATGCCACGCCTCAATTAGGGTTTTGATTCTCTCAAGCCAGAAGTACAGTTGATCGTTGATTCTTGAAGACTGGTTCATCAAGGGAACTTTCAGAGAATCGTGTGTTTATTTCCATGCTCTGTTCAACAAATGGCCTCAAGCGTCTCCAAAATTCTTCATAAAAATAGTGAAAGTTCCATGATCACTGGTTCACGTGTGTTTCATCTTGCCTTGAAATACAAGAAAAGATCAGGCTATGCGAGTCAATTCGAAATGCTTCGACCAAAAATCATCTGCAAGTTTTCTCTAAGAGTTGAAGACAATTGTGTTTAGAAATCCATGAGAGGACTTTATGGGACGTCTGTCATAATTTAAGAGTTTCTGGATCTCTGAGTTCAGTTCATTGTGCCAATTTCTCAATGCGATAATATTTCGCCTCAAATCCCTCTTCTGGTGATCATTCGAAGCTTTTAAGCATGGGTCGATTTCTTATACTTACATGATGCAGGGTGAATTTGTTTAGAGTGGGATGATTAAATTCAAAATCGCTTTGGAAGAATTTATTAGGAATACTTGAAATTTTCATCATGAGAATTCAAGCGTTAATTAAATAGAGGTTATCAGAGGGGCTCATTCAAAAATAATCATTCATCTCATTAATATTTATTCAAGATTATTTTTGTGTGACTATTTTGATGGATTCACACCATGGCCATTTGAATTCACATGAAGCATTTATTCAAGAAGATGTTGGAAAAGGAAACTTGATTCAAAGAATCATTCATCACAAGAATAATTACATGATGGTTACAATTTTATTATAAGATCAATTCATGAAATTCATTTGGATCTCTATTACAAAATGCAAGATTGAAGTCTTAAGGCTTGCATTTTTGTTCATTCATTATTCAAGAATTCATGCAAGCATCAATCATTCCTTTCCAAATTCAAATGGAAGATTTTGAATTTCATCAAGACAAATATCAAGATTCAAAGTTCATAAAGATTCAAACGTTTACAATTACAAAGGAATTGGGAATTATATTGAAGAATAAGTATCCATTCATGTTACAATTTTATTTGGATTTATTACTACAAAGTTACAAGGGATTATAAGTTGTACAAACTATTATTTCTAATATCCTAAAATTCCAGCTCAATATCATATTGCTGCCCATATTTTCCAGCCTTGTTGCAATGCATAAAAGTCCAATTTTTGTGGTGTTTTGCTTTCCAAAACAGCAGCAATAACAGTCCATGACAGCAAGCAAAAAAGCCCCAAAATCTGCTGTAAAAACAACCTACAAAATAGTCCCAAAACTGTTATAAAAATGCAGCAAAACAGTCCAAAAAAAAAACAACCTGCAATGGTCCAAAATGCTGCCAGAACTGCTATAAAATCAGCCTAAACAGTCTGCAACAGCCTGCAAAAATCTGCATCAAAACAGCCCAGAATTTGCATCAATATGGCTAAAGAAAATTGCATGAACAAAGCATCAAAATAGTTTGTCAAAATAGTTCAAATACCCTACTATTTTCCCCCCTAAATACCTTGTTATCTCTCTATAAAAAGCCCCTTCATAGACATAATTACACACAAAAAATTCAATAGGAACAACAGAAAAATTCAAACACAAAAAACTCAGTAGAGGACACAAAAAAGAAACTCAATGAGAGAAACACAGAAAAATTCAGCAAGAGAAACACAGAAAATTCAAGGAGAGAAAATTTACTATTTGGAAGCTCCATCAGAGAGACTCTGGTGGGTATTTTTTCTTCCTCTCTATTTACTTCTGCATAATTTTCTCATATATCCATGTTTGGATCTTCTTCTGCACCATTTTTTGTCATACGATGTTGGATTCATCTTATTCCTTTGCTGCATTTTTTGAGTTGCTACAATGTGTTGGTATGTAGGAATGTTAGAAGCATAATAATAACAATAGACAGCAGACGCAATATGCAGTAATAACATAAATTCACAAAGATAAAATATACCTTCAAATTCCCCTGCTCATATACTCCCTCTACAGATCTGCACCACTGCACCCCCATCACTTGTAATTTCTAACATAACTTTATCCCCTGTCATCTTGTCTTCCTAGAAAACTTAAACACTAAACCGTTTTTTTTCTTTCAATCGCCTAACAACCTTCAAATTCCACCCTTTTTTTACCTGTAACAACAAATACACACAAAAACTTCTAAAAAACTCAGAGAATTCACAGGGAGAAACTACAGAAAAATCACCTATCAAGAAATCTTTCTCTGCAATCTCTTGCGTTTCTCTGCACTTCACTTTGGCTTTAACAACATTGCGCGCTACCTGCATCAACATCTTCACTTCATCATCAAATATGCATCACAATATTTGGCATCATCATCATCTGCGTTCATCAACAGTCATCATCATTCCCAGAAAAACTCCCTGAATCTGAATCTGCCACAGTTATTTAACTTTCAATTATTTCTTCACAGAATTTAAATATAATCTTAAAATAAAGTCTGTTAGAGCAGATTAGGATATACCTTCTTTTTCTTTCCTCTGAGTATAATTTCGGACAAAACATTCATCTTCCAATTTCATCTGCCGCTCTGTTTTCCAGACAACACCACCACTACTCCAGCTGCAATAGCTCTAGTCTCATCCCCGGTATCCGCCCCTCCCAAACCAGCTTCACCAGCTCCCGTTGTTTCCCCCAAATCATCACCTCCAGCTACATCCCCCAGCCTCATTTCCACCGGCCGTAGCACCAGTCAGCACATCACCCTTCAATTCCTCTGTCTTCGCTAACATCAATACTCCTTCTGCTCCTTCTCCACACGCGCTACCACATCCTCACTCAACGACCCTAACCCTAACTGGTCTAACCGTCCTCCAAAGGAAACCGTCTTGCTCGATGGATGAGATTTCGAACATTGGCTTGTGGTTATGGAGAAACCTGAAGGTGATCCCACAAGAGATGAAATCATTGACAGGTATATCAAAACACTTGCGCAGGTTATCGGTGGAACTGAGGAAAAAGCAGGATGAAGTTTTACGGAGATGAAGAATTTGGAAGAGTGGAAAGGGTTTGTGAAGGGAAAGCGGAAGATGAAGTTGTTTTAGAGAGAATTTTGTTTACAGTAAAGCACAAGAACAAGTTTCAATAATAATAATAATAATAATAATAAATCTGGCTTCTCTTCCCAAGACAACAAAACCCGCGGCGCGCCATCACCCTTAGGGTTTCACTAACTTTTCCTTGTTCTTCTTTTAACCGGCTCAGTCCATTGGGCTTGTTGGCCCAATCACTCAACCGTTTTCACCTTTTGTTTTAATAAAAATGTAATAGTAACGAATAAATAATACAGTTCAGTTGGTAAGACTTGTGTGCTGCAATCTAAAAGACCCGGGCTCTACCCTTGTTGGGCCTTTTTATTTTGTTTTTTTAGTTTTGTTAGCCTTATTTCCCCAAATTCTAGTAAAATATATGATAACAACATTAGTTTAGATTTCTATTGTTTACACCTTATTATAAAATACAGAAAAACATCCTATTATAATTAATCTTTTATTCGACTTTTGTTATTTGTTTAAATACATATTATTAAATTAGTCTCTTATTTAATTTTTTTCCATTTATAATTATTCAAAATACATGCTTTTTATAATTTAGTCTTTATTTAATTTTTGCTATTTATTTATTCAAAAACATGCTAATAAATTATCTTTTATTTAATTCTTGTTCATTCAAAAAACATATTATCAAATTAGTCTTTATTTAATTTTGTTGTTTACTAATTATTCCAATACATGCTTATAAACTAATCTTTTATTTAATTTTTGTTTGAAAATACATGCTAGTATAATTTGATTTTCGTTATTTATTTAATTGTTCAATTGTCATTTTAATTAACTTTATTCTCGATCATTTAGTTCTTGTATCTTTCGTCCGTCTAAATTCCAAGAGAAACGTTTTTAACTTTGTTGACTTCATGTCATCAAATACATCTTATTCGATTGAGCAAAACCCTTCATATATTTTTTTAGTTTTGTTAATCTTAAGTTAATTTTCCTAAAAAACTCAATTTTTAAACTCACGTCTTTTAAGTCAAAACTTCGACACTAGGTCGTCGTATCTTCAAAATCTCGTCCACACCCATTTTTAGCCAAATAAACCATTTTAATCAAACAAACAGTTTTAAAAACTGATATTACAAAAGGTTCCTGCAGAGTACCGCAGATGCATTGGGTGCTAATACCTTCCCATTGCATAACTATCCCCCGAACTCTAGATCTCTTTTCAAAAAATGCATTGTATTTTCATTACTTTTAAGTACTATTTTATATTGCATATTTAAGGGTTTTATTTCGCTCTTTTCCCTTGAAAATAATAAAGCGCGGTGACGACTCTTACTTTTGCGAGACGAGTTAATTAATAGCTCGATCTCCGATTTATCCCGCTATATTTTTTATCGCTACAGTGTGATGTTGGCTTCTAATTTTTAATTCAAGGTGTTGTTGCTTGTGAGAGAAGCCTCAGTTATGTGAAACTTGACATTAAAGGGAAGAAAGATGGTGACTAGCAAGACGGATTTTTTATCTTTGTTTTTTATGTCATGGACGTGATATTATTTCATGCCTAAAATAGATCATACATAACTATTCGATAATAGGTTATTTGGCTACAAAATACTTTCAAAATTTCATGGTTCATCTCAGAATCATAATTCCAAACTAAACAGTCCTAACATATGCACATAGTCATATAAACACATAGCACTATATATATTAGTGCCATATGTGATTTTGTACAACTCTTTAATCTGAAAACTAAACAATTCCTATGCAAGAAAACTAAAACTAATCAAAACCATAATGTTAACTCATATTTAATGGCTACAAAGGATTATCGATTACCAAAGAGAATATCTCTTCTGCATTTCACTAGAAATCAAACAAAGACTCGTTATAGATCCAAAATCCCTTCTTTATACTTGTAATGGGGTTTACTTTTGAGTTTGATCACGCTTTTTTTCAACATATGACAAATTTACTTTAGTAAAGTCAATATCTTAGTACCATGCAATTGTGACGATCTTCCAATATCATATTTCCGCATTCTTGTTGGAATTTCTTGGTGTGATGTTGGCTTCTAATTTGTAATTTAAGCTGTTGTTGTTTGTGAAACTTGATATTAGAGGGGAGAAAGATGGTGACTAGCAAGAAGATCATAAAGGAAGAAAATGAAACTGCAAAAAGCTTGAGGAAGATGAGCCTTATGCTCTTAAATGAGGGTCGGAAATTCCTGGCCATGGTGACTTCTTTATTATGATTTGAATGAGGCTTTGAAATTATTTGTTTGTTTGATATTGTTTTTTTGTCCCACACATTAAATTTGTTAATGTGATTAAACTTTGAATAATTATTTTAAAATGGTTTTAATTATTTTATCAATTTTACACTATTTTTACATTAATATATGGACACCACTTTTTTTTTTAAATAAAAAAAGAATCAAGCATCATATAACTCAATTTCAACTCATTAATTCAAGAACCAAGTTCAATGGACTAATTGTTGTATACATTTTTGAACTAATTCGAATTGACTTGTTAATTGTAAATTTTAATTAAAAGTGAAAAAATTATATTTATAGGATCCAAAAAATTATTTATTTTTTATAAATAATAACATCTTCTCATTGTGAGCTTTAACAAATAATGACGACATAAACATGCTTCTACACTAGCTACAAAATGACAAAATCAAATATGTTCCAATCAATAGTTAAAAACAAAATTAATATAAATTGGTGCTAAAAAAAACTCAAAATACTTCTGCTACTGGATTACATTTGTTTTAGTTACTTAATTACCACAAATCCGAATCTCCCCTATTAATGTGGAACAATAACAATTTGATTCAATAAAAGTGAGGCAAACGTATAACCACTTATTAGAAATAAATGTCTACCATGGACCGGCCACTACTTGAACATTGTTCAAAACATCAATGATAGTTATGTTAAAAAAATTAATTGGCTTACATATTCTTAATGTTAATTAATAATTTTTTTATCTATTTCTTAAATTATTAAATATACTGGGCATTTCTCCTTTGAGTTGGTATTGGAGGGGCAAAGTTGAGAAATAAGGACACACATAATACTAGATCTCAAAGTTGAGCAAAAGTTACACATGAGTTATTTCAACAGGAAGATTCGATTTTACAATGGAGATTCAAACGGAAAAAACTTAAGTGGACACAAATATAACAATTGATTTTATAAACAACCAATCACATTTTTTTATTAATTAAAAAATATAAAATATAATATTCTCTCTCCTTTATAATCATATCCATCCCATGATACCAATTTAAAAACAAATTAAATTTTAAATAAATTAAATATTTCCTTTATTTTTATTAATTGTTTGTAACAATAAGAATTTATTAAATATTTCCTTTATTTTTATTAATTGTTTGTAACAATAAGAATTTATGTCCGTGTTCATGCAAATTTTTCCCGATCCAAACACCCCCTTATCCGATCCAAATCTCATTCAACCACTATAAACATACATTTAGTTCTTCCAATGTGGAACCAAACACATAGTTCAAATAGTTAAATTGAGGAGACTGAAAAGTAAATAGTCCTCTGTTTTGGTTTAAAGGTATAGATAGTGTCCTAAATCACACACGAACCAATGAGCATGGAGTTACAAAGGCTGGACACTAGTTCCACTGCTAAAGGTTATAAACATGGAGATAAACCTTGCCTTCCAATTTTGGATCAAAGTCAATATCACAAGCATCATTACAAGGGGAAGCCCTAACAAAGGTGTCAAATCACCTTCCTATGCCCTCCAAATGCCCATATCTGCAAGATGCAAGTAATTATGTCAAATATGTATTGTATTGAATTGAATACCACATCCATGAATTTATCAGTGAAATCCACATACATCAGCATTCATAGATACATTATTTGATCAAATATGCATTGGGTACCAATACTAGTAAGACAATCCTATGACAAGACTGGGGGAACTAAGGAAAAATATACGATACTACCAACTTCAGAGCAGCACATTATGTTATTCACCAAAGGATTTACCACTGACTTGGAATAAGTCCCAGCATTATGACCAGAAGATTCATTTATGAAAAGTCCTTATCAATCCTTAATGAAGTATGTTTTGGAATTCCACTTAACATGTTAAACCATTCTAAGCTCGCATGGCATCATACATATTGCTTTCAATTTTTGCTTGATTCCTGATTCTTTTTAAAGGTTTAACCTTAGAGGAAGAAAAGCTTATAAACTAACAAAACACATATTAATAAAAGCATAGTTCTTTTTAAGTTCAATCCTACAATCATCTTATGCCACTATACAAGCTACAAGTTTTAATTATCAGACTAAATGCTTGCTCACCTTTAAATTTGTGTCCCAACTTCCTGTACATAAAGCGCTTCCATCAGCAGACATACCCAAACAGGTGATCCTGCCCTCATGAGAGTTTTGAAGAGATCCTAGATTCAAGACCACCTACAATCAAATGAAGAAGCAAGTATAGTCAGTCTTACTACCGACAAAAGTTTCACTAGGCACAACCACTGAAGTACAAGTACAAATAAGTGGAAAAAGAAAGCAGTGTCAGAAAATATAATGCTATGATTAGATGTTACAAAACAGAATTCCATTTTATTTTTGTTCACGTTTCTTTTTTAAAAAATATGGAAAGTT